GCACACACACACACACCCCCTCACACACACACACACACCCACAACACAAGCACACTGACATTTCAGAGGGCTTTAATGGCTGACTAAATGCAGGTCTCTTGCTTTGAGATGAATGTCATGGTCTCACTTTGTGCGCATGTGTGTGTGTGTGTGTGTGTACACAAGTGTGTGCGTCAGTGTAAGTGCCAATCTGGTGTTATGATGCGGATCTTAAACGTTCTCTCATGGCTGCCGTCTTAGCAGAAGCCAAATCTAAAATCTTCCCCTAATTGAACTGATGAACTGATAAACATCGACAGATTATTTATTTCTGCCACATATGAGGCCGAAATATTTTCTTCAGGGTTTCTCAGCGATGGAGATCTTGATCTGACAACTCAGGCGGAGACGATGAGAAAGTGTAAATGTCTCCGGTCAAAGATGAAGGAATATTTGAGGCTCCTTTAAAGTGATTCTAATCTTGAGTCCAATCTAACACGAGATAAGAGAGAGCGAGGGAGGATGATAGAGCCAGGAAGAGAGAGAGAGAGAGAGAGAGAGAGAGGGAGGGAGAGATGAGATTAGATGCAGCTAGCTTATCAGTGTGTATTAAATCCACCACCGTATCACTGACAGCCGCTCTGGACTTGTTCAAACCCTTGAACCAGCAGTGTGTGTTTGAGAGGATGAGCTGCCAAGTTGAAGCGTGTCTCCATTTGGGCTTATTGTGTAAGTGTGTGTGTGTGTGTGTGTGTGTTTTTGTGTGAGAGAGAGAGAGAGAGTGTGTGTGGCATTTTGTGGGTTCAGTTTGTAAAAAAAAAGTGTGTGTCCAGAACAACGGCCCCAGAGCTCTTGGAACAGATGTCTGAGTTTATCAGCTGTTTGTCTTATTTGTTAAGAGACTAATTTCCCTTCATCAGATTCTTTTCTTCCTCCTTTTATTCTTTCTCTTCCCACCTTCCAGGCAGTAATGAGAGCTTTCCAAACCACTTCAGCTCATTTTCTGTCTGTGTTGTTGTGAGATTTTATCCATCCATCAAAACGTCTTTTCTAATACGTGTAATGTCACTTTACATATTTTTTTTTCTTGCTTATGTGCTTTTCTCCCTTTCTTCTTCTTCTTCCCTGCTGTTTTTTCCTTTCTTTTTCCTTACATCTTTCTTTCTTTCCTCCCTTCCTCCCAGTAGATTAAATTACTGTTTCAGATGTTTTTACATCCTTCGGTCTGTTAGCTTAGCCTCACCTTACCATATGTCTCTTCTTCCCCTCTACCTTCAACCTTCTTCTTCACTTATCTCCAGCACCCTTCCATCCATCCATCCATCCATCCATCCATGCATGCATGACCGAAAAATGACCAGATCTGAGCCTGGAGGAGCTGACCCTTGCGTGGCCTTGTGTCACAGCCGGGCTCCTTCATTTCCTCCTCATCCCTCCATCACGGGTTCAACACATTTGCACCGGAGGAGTAATTAATCCTCGACCTCCCTTGTGTGTTTGGTAATTAAGTGGGGGAGGCAGATGGAGGGAGAGTGTGGGAGAAATGGAAAAAGAAGCAGTGCAGTAAAGGGGCCGGAGTGAAATAAAGTAAATGAAAGTGAAAGTGACAGAGTTGGGGTTATAGTAAACCCACTTAAACCCATTTAATACGATTTTATCTTTGCTGATTACAGTATATTCAGAAAGATAAGACGACTTGAGTCGTGGTGAGTTGAACTTATCGAGCTCTACACTGAGTGAGGCTTAGTCTGCAACATGACCACAATCCCTCCTTAAGCTGAGCACAATTGGACACCTCAGTTCTTCTTTGGTGTACGATCAAGACAAGAAGAAGCATCTCTGTATGAGCATCACACGGTATCAAACAGCTTTGTAGTGTTGCTTGTTTTAACTGTGTTTAACTGTGAAGAAATAAACAGAGTTTCTCTTGGGAAGAAAAAAATAGCTTTGTGTTTTCAGGCGCTGCAACAAGGTTATTTGGTGCCACACGAGTTGGCATTGTTTTAACTTTTCCCAAATCAACTCAGCCAAATAAACACTTACAAACATGCTGGGTGAGAAGGAGTCTTGGTGCGATGTAGTAAAACCCAGACATTGAGAGCTGGTGGTAATGATGGCAGATGAAATAGATTTCAGACTATAGCTCCAACCAAACTTCTGTCTTCTCACGCCGTCTTTGTTGTTAACTCCCAATTACTTACACTGCACATTATATACCAGCTTTCATAGTGTACTATTTGTTTACGAGGAAATATCAACACTTCTCTCAGCATGCACTTTATTGCTTGCTTCACATTCTCAGTAAACAAAGAGTGTAGAGAAAGATGCTGGCGGGCGAATCAATTCTTTCACAGCTGGATGTCTGTCTGACCAATCAGCTGCCACTTTGATCCGTAAGCATCCAATCAGCTCCTAATCTCAGACACTTTGAGCTCTTGCAATCCAATCAGCTTCAGGTTTAAAGGCCCTGAAAAACCAATCAGCCTCCGGTTTGATCTGGTTTTGAATCTGATTTGGGTTGTTGACTTCCTCTGTGTGTGTGTGTGTGTGTGTGTGTGTGTGTGTGTGTTGCAGTTGACCTGTTATAATTTTGCAGGCATATAAGTGTTTTTGAATCATAGTGAAACCCTGTTGTGTTCAATCGCTGTGTGAATACAATGTGATGAAGCTGTGTGTGTGTGAGAGAGAGAAAGAAAGAGGGAGAGAGAGAGAGAGAGTCTCATAATAAAAGCGTATTCTTCAGTGGAAACTGCACTCACTGCCTTTTTACTCTGTCCACCCCCC